ATTTTCAAGACTTCTTTTTCAGATAAGTGGCATGAGAGAATCAAAAGAAAGTGTATTATATCAATCACAGTAAATACAAACTGAGATTATAGAACAAATTAATTCAAATGTTCGAATCGACGCCCATTAGCACCGATGCACTTTTGAAGTCTTTCTGGTACTGATTCACAAACTTTCTTGCACAGATCAGAATCTATTGTAGAAAAAGCTGAGATAATTGATTGTTTGAGACTGGATAAGGTTCGATGCTTCTTTTGGTAAACAATATCTTTCAGATAACCCCACAAAAAATAATCAGCAGGAGTAAGATCAGGCGATCGAGTAGGCCAATCAAGCGCACCACGACGACCAATCCACCTTACTGGAAAATTTTGGTCTAACCAATCTTGAACATTGGATGCATAGTGTGCTGGCGCGCCATCGTGCATGAAAAAAAAAGATTCGCTATTTGGTAAATCACAAAAAATTGAATAGAAATAATCACTCAACATTCCGATATAACTTTGACTAGTCACTGTGCCATCAAAGAAATAAGGTCCGATTACATCTTGAGAGGATACGCCAGCCCATACAGTAACCCCTTCACTTTGCATAGTTTGCTCCCATGTAAGATTCGGATTTTGTATTGCCCAATAGACAGAATTATGACGATTAATATGCCCAATGGGTTTGAATACTGCTTCATCTGACCAAATGATATGATGAATAAGATCCGGTTCGGTTTCGAGAAGCGATAAAAACGTTTCACAGCATTCAATTCGTCGGTCAAAATCATCTTCAATGAGTTCATGAACTAATCTGGGAATTTATGGCTTAAAGCCCATAGACTTGTAAATACGTCGAACTGAAGATCTTGAAATACTTAAATCTGTACTCATTTGACGAAATCGACGTTCGAGGTTCTTTTTGCAAAACCGACGAAACTTCGTCTTTTGCAACTTAGTCAGTAACTGATACAGGTCTACCAGGTGGACCAATATCGAGTACGGAACCAGTTTATTCAAATTTTTTCATCAATACTCTTATCGTATCACGATGTGGAGGATTGTTATTTATTTCCTTACACCATAATCTTTGAACATTTATTGAATATTCAAGACGATACATATGTTTGACAATCCATATCTTCTCATTCACACACAATTCACGTCGTGCCATGTGTTGTTCTGAACGTGAAATTTATGAATATATAGACTTTCTTAATTAGAGAATGTTATTATTTGTGTGTAAGAAAGTATAAATAGATAGATAAAAGTTTATAAAAACGGTTAGAAATCATACTGTAGCATTTTATAGAGTCCGTAACAAGTAGAAAATTCGTATTGATATTATCTTAATACATAAGAACATTGATTTCTTTATGTATCTCTTACCCAAAAAAACTTTAAGTAAGCCTCTATCACTGGTAAAAATTTCAGCTCGATCGATCGACATCTGGCGGCGATATTTAAATTTCTTATCGCCGGGTTATTTATGGACCACCCTGTATATATATGACAATTTGAAAACATACACCATGTTTTTTTCAATCAAATACAAGCAATCAGAACAGATTAAACAATAATGTTGGAATATAGAATTCTTTAGCTTGGTGTGAATTCATCAGATCCAATGAGTAGTTTTCGTAATAAACTTGGCGATGTAGAAACGTTCACAGATGTAAATAGTTGTATTCAATATATCTAATCTCATCCAAATGAATCCATTTATCTTATTGTTTCTGGTTCATTTACTAAAGAAATTGTTCCAGAAATCTATGAATCTTCAAGTCTTATACAAATCTTTCTTTTTTGTGGATCAGCTAGTGCTTATCCAGAATGGGGAATGGATTATTGTAATAAAATGATGATATTTGATCATGAAGATGATCTTTTAGAACGATTATGGAATTATTTACAAACCAAATTACAGGAACAAGCAACACTATGCTTAAAACGTGCAGAGGAGTATAAACAACGAGCTTTACAATATAAACGAGCATGTGGTTAACCCTTTCACCGCGATGTGAGTCATCGGTAGCTCACATCGCGGTGAAAGGGTTAACTCAAGAATGAAAAGAAAATATTAGATTATTTTCAAAGTATGAAATTGTTTCAGATTTCGAAAAAATATTGATGAATGATCCGTAATTAAATACGTTGTACTAAATATACAATACCAAGAAAAAAGTATTTCAAAATATTTTCAGAGTGTCGAAAGCAGTATTTTATGAAACCTAAGGATTTTCGAACCTTCAGAAATCTCTACAGATTTACGAATAAATTTTCACACATGTTTGCATTTTCCAGTAAACAGATTTTTTTTTAAAGAATAGAACCTACAGAAATCATTAATCCTTGATAGAATTAATTGCTAAGTGAATAAAGAGTTTTCTTGAGAAAAGTTTAAGACATCGTCAATTCTTTCGTTATCGATAATAGAGGCTATTTTCCAAAATATACTATTCGATTCAGAATAGAACGCACTACATTTTGAAAATAAAATCTTTGCAAAAATTACTGGTTATAATAATTCAATATTAATTGCTAAGAATTTTCATTGATTAATGATTCTAGGAGAAGATATTGTACTTGAAGTTAATTTCGACTACTTGACACTGGATTACTTTAAAGTACTTCAAGCTAATCTCAACTGCTTTAAATTACTTTCATCTACTTCGAGTTACTTTAGACATAAATTCTCACGTAACTTAACCAGATAGACTCAAAGTTCTATTTGTATGCACAGGAGCGCATGAGAAGTCTAGTATATACACGTTCATCAATGTTATCTCGCGCATTATTCGACCATTGCTGGTGCAGCCCACTGTGTTATCCCAGCAGTGTTCCAGGGTTTCTTTGGTTGTACATTCAAATAAAAAATAAGGAAGCAGCAAGGCAAACCTGAAAGATTTGAGAAATAACATCATTTTATTCAACGAAAAGAAAAAACTTCAACCAAACAGTAACAAAGAAAAAAAAGTACGGTAATAGTAGTTGAAACTACAAATTTCAATCGATAATTTAGAAATAACTGCCGGAAGCGTCAGTGTCTACTTGCAAATGTTGAATACTTGTCCATCTTCTCATACATTAAACCAATATCGTTGCAGTAGTTAAGCTAGGTTTGGATATGGTCTGTGGAGTGGAGGTATAGAGAACTGAAACAGCCACATTAACCATACTTCACTTCACGCATCATAGGGTTTTAAATACTGATCACTTACTTTTCACAACAAAAGTATTTCGTCAATCTAGTCATGGTAATTCATCTGAATCAGTAATAAACCACTTCAAAATTGTCTGTTTACAGTATTTTCATTTTCACTTGATTATTCAGTAGTTTCATCATTATTGTCACTGTCATATTTTTTAAACATTGAATCTTCATCATCAAAAATCTTGATTTTTTAAAGACGACTTGATCATTGCTTGGAATTGATTAATGAATGTTTTATTATTTGACGACGTCAATTAAATGATGATATTGATAAATGACAATGTAAACACGATGATGATGATGATGATGACAGGTAAATTGAATAAAGAAAAATCAAGTTATTATTTGTTAATAACATTGTCTAGACTAGATATAAAAACTTGCTTGTACGAAGAAGATTATTTTTATTTTTTTTATTTAAATATTTATATAAACCAATATAAGAAGAGAAAAGACATTTTTTTCTATTATAAGTGACATTTTGAGTATAATAAGAGAAATTGAAAGCAGGAAGTTTTCTCAAATATGCATAGATACTTGCTCTTTATGTATAATAAAGTATCTGAAGAGATCTTCGAGTATTGAATTCAACTTTCAGATTTGAAAATTACTGAAGTACAAAAAGAAAGATAACAATTATATGAAAAAACAAGATAAATATGTTTGATGAATTGTATCTCACTACATTTAGTACAATAGAAACGATTGATCAAATAGGCAGTATTGATTTCTACCATTATTAATTTGGTGTAGTAGTTTCATTACATTTATATTATGTTTCAAAATCTATTGCAGATCGGCATGACACAAAATCGAGCCACTTTAGAAAACTTTTGTTGAAGTTTCAACATATATTTCAAAAGGAAACACAATTGATACAGTCGAAATATATCTACATAAAATGAAAATGTTTTTACAAGGAAACTAATGTCCTGTGTGACCTTTATAAACCCGAATACAAATTTGAAGGTCAACCTTCGAGTTTGATATATGCTTAGGTATAGGTTTCGATGCTCTACTTGTACGTACATGAGACATTAATTATTTTAACATACCATTAAAAAGAATAACAACATTTGAACAGGTAACTGCACGAAATCTATCAAAAAATATTTGAATCCAGGTCTAACTTCACTTATGTCTTTTATTTTAAACTATGGCAGATATTTTGAATTTTCCTGTTATTTTTCGCTACAGTCACTTAAGGAAAACTTGTGAAATGCATCTCTCTTTAAGAAAATGAAGATATATTCTAAAGATTTTTGAGTATAAATCTGAAGTATCAAAATCTAGTATTACATAGAATATATTGATATCTGAAATCACATATTTGTAGGCACTACATTCGAACATATTATACATTACTTCCAAAACCTTGTCTGATAAATAATAAGATAAGTCAGAGAAAATATATACATACGATGGTCCTCATATAACAGATGGATCATATAATCCATAACAGATAAGATAAGAAAAATTTTTTTTTATATTTGGCTTTCATAATCTTAAAATGAGTTTTCCATCATACAATCGTTTTACAACAATACCAATGACAATCATTACATTATCAAGAAGCGATAAATCTAAAGTCTGCATAAGAGTGGCAGTTATAATATCAATCTAAGAAGTAATAAATATGCTGCTTATATTTCTCAAAGAGAGACAACATCTACATCCAATTTACTAAAAATTCAACACATTCTTCTAGATTTCACTGGACTGAAATTAATATGATGTACATCAATCGTTTCAATTTGATTCTTGATTATTAATGCATCACATTTTTTTGTCTTCTATGTAAAATCTCTCTTTATATGCATTTATTTCTCTTATTGCCTTATAAATACGAAATGACCTTATGGTTTTATCGATCAATGATAAAAAAGAAAACTTTTTCTATCAATTATTTTTCTTTGATCAATCAAATCAATAAACAAAACAGCAAGGACTTCATGTTTTTTTCGCTTTTCTACATACATATATTTCGTATTTTTTTTTGCTTCATCTCTTTTTATAAGTTATATACAAAACAAGATGTTATAGTGTTTCGAGAGAAAAAAAAAGGAACGAATATGAAAAAAAAGCTGTATAGATAAATATTACACAAAAAGAAAAGAAAAAAAAAAGTATACCGAACAAAAGATAGAAGTTAATGTTTTATGATGTGAGACCTTTTTTTTTATTTACATATGAAGTTTTTAATACATGGGATGAAATGAAACAAAAATATATGTATATATTTATATATATAGGACAAAATAAATTAAATCCATTCTCCAATAGATAGTCTTTATTGTATCCACTAACTTTTATTTAGATGGAATGCATTTTCTTTTTTTTTCCTTTTTCAATCATATGGAGAATAGATTTATATATCAGACAACCAATGTTAATTATCGATTAAGTGAAAAAAAACAAAAAATAAAGACCAAAAAAAGCGTTGTTTTTTTTTTTTGTTTTTGACTTATTTCATTTTTTTTTTGCGTTTGTTCCTTAATGCTCTGATATAATATTTCAAAACAAAACGAAAAAAAAGAATACACAAACTTATTGGACAATAGGAAGAGTGCGACCACAAACAACATCAGCATAGGTTGGTCGATCAGATAAGTTAATCAATGGTTTTAATGGATTATATGCATGAGAAATAAATCTTAAATCAGATAATTCTAATCGAACAACCTTATATGATGGTAATAAACGAACAATTAAATCTCGACAAGATAATAATGCATGACTTTCAACCTAGAAAAAAAACAAACAAATATATACAAATTTAAATTTTATATTTTTCTTACTTTAGCTAATTGTTGTAAATAAGTAATCGAAGCAAGCCAATCCATATTAATTTCCGATTCATTTGCTTGTTGTTTTTCAAATTCTAAACTAATAAGAGCCAAAGCAAGAATTCGAGGTTTAAATGAAGCTAAACGATGATCTTGTAAACATGAAGCTAATTTTAATTCTAAATCAATATATTTTTCAACAACAATTTTTTCATTATTTTCTTCTTCTTGTCTACCAAGTTTAAGTAGTAAAAGTGCAAAATACTAAAACAAAAAAAAAAAAAAAATTTTTTTTCGACAAAAAATTTTTTTTTTTAATTTTCTTACAATTTGTAAAAAATCAACTGCTGTTACAAAATCAGCAAACCATTCAAATTTTTCCAAAATTAAACGTTCCATACGAAGAAGTTCATTAGCTGAACAATTTGCATTACAATCGATAACAAATTCCGGTGTTATTGATATTGTATCATCTTCTTCTTTACATTTTGCTGCTATATATAAACATCCAACAGCTAAACATTCTAAGAATTTTGGACGAACCTTAATAAAAAAATTTATCCAAAATTATTTTTAAAAAATTTTTGCAAAAATAATCAAATTTACTTTAAGGGTTGCTAAAAATCGATCAAGTAATTCAACACTAAGTGCATATGTATCAGTACCAAAATGCATTGATGCTGCTATTTTACGAAGCCATGATGATACATAATTACGTTGAAAACTATTTACTTCATCCTGAAAAGATAATTATTATTCGATTTATTTGTTTTATTATAATATTACGTCAATTGAATCGGATTTAGTAAGAAGAAGGATATCAGTTATTATTAACTGTATTTATGTATATTCTTCTTGAAAAAAAAAAAAAATTGATGAATATTGATTACAGAAAAACAAATTAGATTATTGATTGTTTATGCTTGTTCTAAGACAAAATAATATATGAATAACATATTCTTTTTTCTCCGCATTTGCTTATCATTACATAACATTTCTTATCTA